GTATCAATCGTTCCGTCTTGAAACGGCGCACACGCTTGTTTTTTCCGCGAGGCTCTAGCTCCATTAGGGGCGAAACGGCGAAAAGGGGTCGTACCAACCCTCCCCCTCGGCCGGCCGAGGGGGTGTGGAGGTCCGACAATAGGTCCGGCGAGGGTTAAGCAGCCCCACTTCGTTTTTAGCATGTTTGCTTGTCACTGAGATCAACAACTCAGTCACAGATAATTTCTAGCACTTTTCCGGGCCCCCGGCCCAGTGTGCGCCGGTGCGCGGAATTGTTTGCTCTGCTGTTCCGTGGAATAACGCCGGGAGGGATGTTTTCTGGTAGGCCAGTAATTTGCAAACTTAGTTATTCTGCTCCATAAGCTATGTGCATTGCTTGTCGACGCTCTGCCAAAGATAGGTTGCAGGGGCGGGTCTCACGGCGTATTGTTCGCTACTTTGAAAAGCGCGAAGGAAGTTGTAATAGTTCGCATGTGTTCGAGCACATAAGTGTTGCATAAAACTTATGCTAGAAGAAATAACTTTGTTTTTATAGCGGAACCTCGTTTCTTGATTGTTTTGCTGGTCTTTAAAGATATTTGATATAGTTCGTTTTTCTTAAGTTTGCCCCTCACTGTAAACGTCTTTTTGAACACAGCACGAGAATTGCTAGCTGAATTACTGAGAAAACTGGTTGGCGCACATTGTATTGTAGATATGAATAATATTCTCAAAATAAGCTTTGAACACCGACGATTTAACGTTATGTTAAGCGCCGTGCAATTTACTTATTAGTTCAGACATAATTCCTGAGAAGTCGTCTATCCCTGTGGGGCTGTAGGTATTGGCAAATACGAGATACGAGTCTGTGAAATAGTAAATAAATTTGATCAAATTGATCGTCTGTCAATCTGGTCAAATCAATGTGCGCCAACCAGTTTTCTAAGTAATTCAGCTAGCAATTCTCGTGCTGTGTTCAAAAACGTTTACAGTGAGGGGCAAACTTAAGAAAAACGAACTATAATCATTTACACCTTGTATTCCATCTCATTGATGTGATGAACTTCGTTATATCGACACTTTCAATAATTATATTGCATCTTTGTCATAGCATTTGCTTGTGTGTTCTGTTTTCATCACTCCTTGCTCTGTTTAAGACTTGTCGTGCCCTCTCTCCGGCAGGCACCTCCACGCCGCCGCCTCCCCCTCCGCCGGCGCCCGGCTCACCACCTCCACCGCCACCTCCGCCGCCATCCTCTGGCTCGGGCCGCTCGCCGACGCCGCCTGGCGGCCACCAGGGGGCGGGCCGGCACCGGGGTCCGGCCAGCCCGCCGCCCTCCGACACGGTGCAGGCGGCCATCCAGGACATCCGACAGGCTATCCGGCGGACCCGCACCCTGCCGCAGCGCAGCTCGCCGCCCGAGGAGGACGGCGGCCGGCCGGCGCGGCCCGTCTGGGTTCCCAGGTACGGCAGAGGGACAGGGGCAGCGCGGGGTGTTGAGAAGGACAGGGGGTCAGCGGCCGGCCGGCCCGGCCCATGTGGGTCCCCAGGTACGGAGAGGGTGTCAGGGAGGGACGGGGACAGCGCAGGGTGTGTGGGAGAGACAGTGGACGGCGGCCGGCTGGCGCGGCCCGTCTGGGTTCCCAGGTACGGAGAGAGACAGGGGGACAGCGCAGGGTGTGTGGGAGGACAGGGGACGGTGGCCGGCCGGTGCGGCCCGTCTGGGTACCCAGGTAAGGAGAGGGGTGTGTGGGAGGGACAGGGGGTCAGCGCGGGGTGTGTGGAAGAGACAGTGGACGGCGGCCGGCCGGCTAGTGCGTCCCTTCTGGGTCCCCAGGTGCTGGAGAGGGACATGGGGACAGCGGCTGGCCAAGGAAAGGGACAGGGGGCCCCTCTGGGTCCCCAGGGACGGCGGGGTCCGGCGGCTCCAGAACAGACACAGCGTGGGGTTTGTGTGTGGGGTGGACGGGAGTGGAGGTGACAGGAATGGCAGGGCGGTCTGGGAGGAATGGGGGAATATGTAGGTGGCGCGGGCATCGCCACGTGTGGCGGAAAGTGGTGTCTGAGGTGTCTGGCCAGAAGTTAGCGGCTGCTGATCAATGATTGATGTTTGGTAAGTGTGTTGGCGGTGGCTAATTTGTGCCTGATCGTGACACCGAATAGGAAACACGGCTTGCTGGTGCCCAATATTGAAGGTGATTTGAATTGACGCACTATGTACTTATTTGAAGGGATGTAATGTACTTGCTGGACCATCGAACCCGATAAAACACGAGCAACATAATAATGAAAGAACTGACTATTGGTCCTGCGACTTTTCCAAGCGATCTTGCATAATATTCTATGAACATGTGGCTCCTCAGTCTTCATGGTGGGGATTTGTGATCAGTTGCTCACCTTCTATTGAATTGGGACATTTATGAGGACGAATTGTTGCTGGGAATATTACTAGTTCTTGTTGGTGCCTTGCGTCATGTATAACATTCGGTTTCAGGCGAATTTTGCGGGAGGGCAGAATACATCAAGACGTGCTCTTAGCTGCTTATTGCCATGAACAAGATGTATTACTTATTTCCAAACATTTCTATATCGCTGTCGGACAAAATGCTAGTAGAGCCCAGGCTGATATATAGCTCCGTTACACTGTCCAACCTCCCTCCTCCCTAGACGTTCCTGCTGTGAACCGGCTGCCTCAAATACCCGCCGACCATGATCAATGGGCGCCAGTTGCCGGCTCCCGGCGGCGGCAGCCGGATGTGTGTGACGGCTGCTGACGGCCGGAGCCCGGCCCGAGCCGGCCGCTTTTATTGACGCGCGCCGCCGGCGGGCATCGATTGGCTTTTGCTCACTAAATGATGGCCGTCTTAGCGCACTAACGATAGTGTCAGGCGGCGGTATTGGATGTATTATGTGACATGTATCGGAAGCCTGAGAGACGGCCGCGGCCAAATGGTCTCGCGACACGAAATGGAGATGGCAGCTACGGCCATTGGTCTTCGAGGCGGTGACAGTGAAACGCAGATGGCAGGGCCGTAGTCTGCTATGTGCGTCATTCGACCTTCGGCGGTCTGCTCATTGCTCAATGCTCATGCACTTCGGTAGCTCAGCACACGTGCCCGAAGTCGAACATATCACGTCATTTGTAAATTGAATCTTTTTTTTTGTGAAATTAGAGTTTTAGCGTCACATTTCTATTCAAACCATTTGATTCCGCTCAGTATGCCGCTCAATGCCACGCTGTCTCTTTTCTACCCGATTTCTGTGTTTGCTGTGTTTTGCACTCCGTCCTTATTGCATCTCACCGTTTCCACTCTGGAGTCTCCAGGTTCCCTGCCATGCCGTCTCCCTCCACCCGTCTGACGCGACTCTCCCTCTCTCTTCAGACGGACGTCCGGCTACCAGAAGGTGTCGACAGATTGCGACGACCCGGCGGCCGGCACCCGACACGACATCGGTGAGTGGCGGCTCGGTCACTGACCGTGTTCACTCAGTCCGGGTCAAGCAGTCCAGTCAGTCTCACTCAGTCCGGTCAGTCCGGGACTAGTCAGGTCACCCCCACAGCTTGGTACGAGCAGTTCGGTCCAGTCTGACCCGTCTGTAATCAGTCTGGTCAATCCTGCGGTCCGGAAACACTGGGGTCAGCTCTGGAGTCTTGGGACAGCCTGGTCAGTCGTGAGGCCGAGTACAGTCCGGCTGCACTGGTAAACAGCCCGACTGCTTTCTGAGGACAGTCACGTAGGGTAATCCGCACTCGATGAAACGGAGGAAGAGCTGCGGAGGTTGCCCGCCTCGTGAGCAACAACAGCCCTCTGTCTATAATTTGATACAGTCTGGCTTCTTTGTAGTTCCACCTTTGCAAGGTCACCAGCGCTCAGTATTTTAAGTGATAGATGTCCTTCTGATCTCTGGTTTAGTCGCCGCGCTGACTATCATGAGCCCCGGAAGCCTCATAACCTCAGTCATCTTCATCATCATTTGATTCATCCGCCTTGGCTTAAAGATTAATCCGATGGCTTTTAACCTCGTCTTTTGCGATGGCGGCTCAGTATAATTCATGTCACTCGGTCGCAGCTGGGTTACAAGTCCTTGATCAACCTTGCTGTCAGGTCCTGGGTACCCTCCTGCTGCCATCTGAAAGAGTCAGTGTTCACTCCTTCCCAGTGTCGGGCAGTGATACGTCACATGACATCGAGGCATCGAGTAAAAATGAGGGTTTCATCCATTATTGCCTATTTAGTTTCCCTGTTCAGTTCTTTAAAGTGCATGGATAAATTGTTTTATTGCTCTTAGCTTAAAACAAAGGAGCTTTTGATAACATTGCTAAGCGACCGGCTTCAATTATCATCTTTCTTTTTATATTAGGCCCTTCTCTTAGCTAGGAGGCCTGGTCGACATTCAATTTCTGTCGTGTCAGTGCATTTATTGCACTGGCATGCATAATTTGCATATCTTATGTATAGCGTCTTCTTGTGATCTAATCAACGCGCCAATACACTTTATGCAATGTCCCCAACTCTCACCAGGTGCTCTGGGACAAGACGGTTCTGTTCCGATTCCAAGGCGTCCCAGTAAGTAGCGTTCACTAATTGCCGCTCACCCGCCGCTCATTAACTATCGCCCAGTCGTCAGGGACCGACTGTCCTGCCGGGGTGCTGTGAAGCTCCGGGTACTAACACGGCGTGGGGGGGGGGGGGGGGGCGCTGGCCGCCGGCTGCCGGGTCTGGGGCGAGCGTCGGGTGTGTGATAGATGGAATATTAAACAGCCGGGAGCTCAGCTGGGTGTCGGTAACTAGAACCGCTAATAAAACCACTAAATCAATCGCCGATGACCATGCGCCTGTCTTGGGTGTGAAATATTGGCATGAGGGATGGCTTCGGTGGGGAGGTAATCCATGTGCTTGCAGATAAGGGACACGGCTAAAAACTGACCGTCCTAGGGTGAGGCGCTGTCATCACAAGATACCGTGTTTTCCTGCCATATACGCTACGATTCCGTTCCTTCTTCTTCTTCCTTGCCAGCTTAGGCCGGGTCCCGTGGGGCCCGGCCCGTCTCCACCAGGAAGTCTACGATGAGGTCAGCTTCGGTGGAGAATATCTCCCCCAGCGTCGGCAGGGGGCCCCACCGGCGGGTCCGAGGCCCCTGGTGTGCGGGGCAGTCCATCAGCAGGTGCGGGACCGAGTCCGGCTCGCCGCAGTCGACGCACGCGTCGGACTCAGCCAGCCCGAGTCGGTGCCGGGTGTCTCCTGTCAGGGGCGAACATCCCACCCGGAGCTGCGCCACGGTTACCGACGCTCGGCGGTCCAGTCCGTCGTGCCCGGGCGTCGGGTCGGGGTGCGGGTGGCTGCGTCTGGCGCGCGCATCACACATCGCCCGCGCCCGGCGGGCCACCGCGGCTCTCGCCGACCACAGGTCCACGGGGATCTGGTCCTGTCTGCGCGAGCTCCCGATCGCTGCCAGACGGTCCGCCTCCTCGTTCTCCGGCAGGCCCGCGTGGCCGGGCACCCACTGCAAGTGGAGTCTGTGGCCTGAACAAGTGATGGTGTCTAGCAGGTCCCTGATCTCCGCTACCAGAGCCGACTGGGAGTCCGCCGTGTCTTGTAGCGACTGGATGGCTGCACGCGAGTCGCAGCAGAGGAGGAGCAGCATGCTCGGCCGGTCAGGCAGATCGCCCGCGGCCTCGGCCAGCGCCTCGCGGATGGCCACGAGTTCGGCCCGGGTGCTGCTGCATACCTTCCCGGCCGCTACCGTTAGCTGAACGGTGCGGGACTCCTGGTGGAAGATCAGCAGGGCTCCCCCTCCGCCATCGTGCGTGCCGGCCCCAGCCGAACCGTCGGTCCAGATGGACACGTCGGGCTGCGGGAGAGACGCCAGCGTCGTCTCCGCTGCAGCTCTTCTCGCTTCCGGTGGGTTTGTGCGCGAGGTGGGCACCGTCAGAGAGGTCGATGTAGTCAGACTTGTGGAGTCCGGTAGAAGGACAGGCGGTGTCAGGGCCAGCGGCTCCGCTGGGAGCTCCGCTAGGCCCGCCTCGCTCGCCATCCAGGCAGCGACTCGCCGCACGCAGGGTTTTGCATCCAGCACGACGTCCTCATCGCACGGCAGGGGAGGGCCGGAGTTTGTGCCGGCTTGCTGAACCTCTCGAATCCAGGCTTCATGGGATCCGTTCCTCAGGCTCCTCCTGATGTGCACATAAATGTGGCCAATGAAAATACAGGTTGGTTTTGATTTGGTGCTTGCTCTGTGCTGCTATTGTAAATTGCTTATTGTGCAGACCGGACATGTCATTCGCATTGGTATGCACCGGTTCAAAATAGAAGACTACGCACACGGTAACTTCTGGTTGGTTAGATACCATGAAGTCTTACGATTTCCTGACTTGTATGGTCTTTTTTAGGCCTTCATTGGTGTGTCAACCATGCCAATATTCGGTTATTTACTCATGGTTCTCTTCGGCTCTATCGTCTTCGGTTCAAGTTCGGCGTTCGTCCTCCTGGTTTCTTGCAATTTGTCTACCTTGCCCGTTCGGCCGGTTCCTACCCTTCACGTCCCGTCCCGTCTCACCCGCCCCGTCCATCTGCCCCGTCCCACCCCGTCCGCCCCTTCTCTCCCCATCGCAGCCCGTCCCATCCCGCCCTCTCTGCCGCCCGGGCGTCGCTGATTGGTGTCGGCTCCCCGAGGTATCCCCATCGGCCGGCCTATATTGGCTGCGGCCGGCCGGGCCTGATTTAATTTGTCATGCGTCTCTCGGAACACCGGTCCGGCCACCGCTCCGGGCCCGCCGAGGTGCCAGGACGACGGAAAATCCGGCCCAGGTTCCGCCTCAACAGGCTCGGCTGACTAGGCCGCGGCTAGTTTGGGGCTGTTTGTTGTTTTGATATAATTATTCGAAGGTTTATTCTGGTGGTTCGCTGCCACGTGACTTTTCCAGTGTCCGGGTCCTGGTCCGGCCTGGCTGCACTGTTGGCCTGTGGTCTGCTGCAGACAGTAGACCCCGCCCGTGGTCCCCCTGGCCGCCCCGTGCCGTCCGCGACCCTGGCCCGTCTCTGACCCCGTCCCGCGGGACCTCCGAGACTCAGAGGTCCCAGGGTTATCAGCCGGCGATAGGCCGGGATAAGATGTTTGTACACCGTGCTGCTCCGGGGCCAGGGGTGAGCACAGCGGAATCTCTGGCGTAGTTTCATTGTTTATTGCTTGGTTTGTTTGCAACATTGGATTGTAGTTAAATTTACTAAATATGTTTTAAATGTTTCTGAAATAACTGCTTCCTACTTAGGTATGTGTCAAATGATTTGCAGACCATTCATCGATAGCGTTTTTAAAGTTAAGATTTTTAAATCATTACGGCTCTATAAATGCGTTTTATTGATTACATACACAGCCGATGCTCTGATTTTGCTGTTTAATCATGTGAGGTGATTGGGTTTAATGATTACCATACTTAATGTGATAGTTGTTTTATCCATACATTAGGAAGATTTTTCACCAATCCTATATAAGGCAGCTGATAGTTTGAAAGACGTTATTGTGCCGATGCGTTTTAGCGCTAAATGAATAATGATGGGTTCATGCTTTCTTTTAGGGCACTCTTGGAATTTATCTTCAAATTTGTTGCTGCATACATTTGTAGCCATGGAGCATCGATTTAACGTCTCGTAGTGAAGGCTTTGACCATTGGATGGTAAAATATCGAGTCAGTGGCGCTAAATTTAAACATAAACTTGATGTGGTGTCTCGTATTTTTCAAAAGTGGCAGGCGCTTTGCTATCGTACACTACGAAGTTTGCTTAGTAGCCGAAGTAACTAGTTATAACATTTAAAAGTTTTATTAAAAAGTTGAAGAACTACGATTGAAGCTGGTTTTAACGAACATGGGACAGGTCCCATTCCCTTCGAGCCGTGAACGGGAATTCGGAAAGACCGTTTTAGATGCCAGTCGATATCAGCAGGACAAACTGAATTATAAAACAGCTTTCGTTCTCAGATTTAGCAATCGATCTACCTTTCTAAGGTAAGAACAGCCCGCCAGGAGCGGCCGCTGTCGTTCCTGGCAGGCGCCTCCTCGCCCGTCCGATTCGAGCCATGCGGCACAGTATGTGTTCAGGCGTCCGACGCCGCTGCCACCTAGCGGCAGAATGGCGCGGCTCTCGCGGCGGCTGCTCTGCCCGCACAGCCGCTGCGCTGCCCGATGCTGATCGCCGTCAGCGCCGTCTGTGTGTTTGGTGGGGAAGGTGGGCGTGGCAGTGCTACGAGCCGTTAATTGCATAAACGCTCCATAAATATGCGTATCAATTGCATAGTTTTTTTTCAAGCCTCGCTTTACAGCGAGCGAACTTGACTAATTACCACAAAAAACACCAAGTCCATAATTTCTTCTACAATCTCGGGTCCATTGGTCTGACCCGTTTTCGGTACAATCGCAAGATATTTCACACTCATCAGTCCTGCTCAAGCACGCATACTTATCAACAAGTGGTTCATTCGCTTGAATGTTTTATGCGATATCCATGAGTGATATTTCACTCAAGATACCGCTTTGGCTTGTGAGTCCGTTTTCCTGTTTATCGACGTTATTCGACCGGTCCTCACCTCACCACAATTACTGGTTACCTGCCCGACCAGGCCAAGGATACGTGCGGCCGGCGCGGTGGTACGATCGTCACTGACCACAGCCGCGTCACGGGCCTGCCCTCGTTCAATGACACTGGAGCGGACAATGGGTCGTGTTCGACTCCGGCGCGACAGGGTCACAGCATTGGACTAAACCGTGCTTCATCGCGCACGGCGTCGGTGACATTGGCACCGGCCGGCGCGGTGGTAGTTCTCTATGACCGGCCCCGGTGATAGCCCCGGGCTGTATGTCCCGTTTTGTGACTATATAGCTGATGTTATGACTTGGTCGGCAGAAAGCCACCATTCGGTTCCGGGTGGTAATAGCAGACCTGTGTTTCGTTCCGAGACTCGCCAATGTCACTGGCTTTGTCTCGGGCTGAGCCGTAATTCCATTCCGGCTGTGTAGCTGGTTCATTGTTCTCGCTCCGCGGAAGTTCTCTGTGACGTTGGACCTTGTTTGGGCAAGGCAGGCCGTTGGGTACGTTTGTAGCTTTGTACCGTCCTATCGACTGCTTGATCAATGCTCATGCAGCTTATTAAAGGGACCCTCCCACCTTAACATTAGATTTGAGTTGAGATAGCCAAAATGGGGTCCCTGGCTCACAATTACCGGTTTCGGCACTCACAACATCGAGAAATGCCTTAAATCGGAAATATTGAATTTCAAAATTGCAGCATTTTGATTCAGAGGGGCTAATGCTTAGGAATACCCCTCTGAATGTGTGACGTCAGCGCAGATATCTAACGATTTTTAAATGTTTGACTAAAACGTTTTGTAGCACGCGGTGGTATATGCTATTTGCGCGCAACATCTGCCGCAAACGCCGCACTTCTAAAATAAAGTCGCTAGAAACAGCGGAGATCCCAAAAAGTAAACAAAAGTAAAAGTCTAATATCTTGAAAACTGGTGAATATTTTTCGGTGAAATTTGGTAGATATTCGTTTTCGCTCTTTCTGAACCGAGCGACATCACTTTCATGCCAATTCATAAACTTTTTTGAAGGTGGGAGGGTCCCTTTAACGATGTCACCCTTTCTCGTGCCAGAGCTGTTATGCCGCCGAGTTCCTAGTTAGACACCATTGGTCACAGCCAGCCTTCCGCGCCTGCTGTTGCCATTGAGGTCGGTCGTGTCCGTTGGGAGGTGACCCGGTATCCATACCGGACCGCGGCGCCGCCGCGCGGCCGCTGTGTCGGTGTCGGTGCCGAGGTCAGACGCTACGGGCGCTGCTGACGGCACGCCGAGGTTCGTATTCGCAGTGTAGGGAACTCGTGGCATGGAGGTCCGTTTCTCTCGGCTTGAAAAACTGCTCTCTGGTTCCGGCAATCGGTCAGAATTGAGTCTGGTTTCAGACAAGTTGAACAAAAGTAAATCAGTATTGTGCAGCATGCCTTTGAGCGCCAGACGTTATGTGAGCCAATCCCGTGTGGGCCGACAAAAAAAAAAAAAAAAAACCACCACCTCCTCCGCGCCTCGGCTGCTACCCGGGCCGCCGGCCGGCCGTCCGTCACTTGGTCGGCGGCGGCGGCGCGGCGCTGTCTCATTCATCGACTTCGGCGCGATTGGCTGTTCCTGCTGACCGGGCCCGTGAGCGAGGGCCGACCGGGCCGGACCGGGCCGGGGAAGGGGTTAGTTCCGGTAGAGAGTGCTGACTGGGCGGGGCCCTGAGGAAGCGAGGCAGGGGCTAGTTCTGTGGGGGCGGGAAGGGGTCGGGACCGCTCAGCCCGGCCGATTTGGGTCGGACTTACCCTGCCTGTAGCTTGCTGGCCTCCGAGCAGCTGGAAAAACAGACAGTGCTCGGACGTAGTCGCCGCTGAGAGGTTCCTGCAAACACAAGGCTGAGCCCGATGCGCAAGGAGGCCTTCGTGGTCACGTCGAGCCATAGCTCAGCGCAGTTCTTGAAACATAGCTTTCGATCTCAGCCCTCATCTAAGTTGCGCCTTTATTCTGGCCAAACTCTAAAAGAACCGGACGCGTTTCTTGTTTGCCGCGGCGTCGTGACTCGTGACCCGTCAGGCGAATTGCGGGCCAGTCGTCGTACCGTGATGACCTGAAACTTAGCAACGGACGCGGCCGACGGAATTCATGGGACATTTGATGACGGATTATAGTTTCGAGTGAAATATGTCGACTGGATCGATATCCTTGATACGAAGTTGCGGGTTATCCAGCTGTATGTTGGGTGCCGTCCTGTATTGAAGTTCGACGCATGGGTTGCGGTCATCTTAGATCGATCTCTACCTTTCATAGAGCGCCCGGTGTCCACATACGCCATGGTAATATATACAATATTGCCGGAACGGGTTGTGCGGCAGTGGAGCCCATGAGCTGGCGCTGATTCTACGGATTTTCCCAACATTTGAGGTACATGATTCTCGGATGTCTTTAACCAGCTTTCTTCGTGTGGCTGTATATTATTAAAGCGATGGT